AATTGGCAAAAAAAAAAAAAAAAAAAAAAAAAAAGAACCCTCTCTTTGCGGAGCAACTCGCAATGTCAGGCGTATGAGCGAACACGCCACAACGCCACATTGGTACTGCCAGGAGCCACATGCTTCATGTCTCGTCGCCGCGCAACGTCCATGTCAAACAATCTAACGTTACAACCCGCAACTTCAGGGAGCCGCTGACACCTTTAGCACTATAACCCATCTGTTCAAAAGAACAAACACTGACATGTCGACTCGCATCCTCGAGGCTCGCCTTCAGCATCTGTCCTTTAATGACGACACAAGAGAGGATTATCAGGCAAAGGTAATTGAATCAGTTTGCCCAAAACATTCGTTCAGATCTAACTCTGGATAGGTGAAAACCAACCTGGCAGTTCTCTCAAATAGCTCAAGTCAACAAAGTCTTCTAAGAGCCGTTCTGCAAGGCCAAAAAAAAGACGCTTCTACGACCCTTGTTCGCCAAGCGTTGCCCCGGACATCGCCGAGCCACAACGACCGCAACGTCGACGAGACAAATGATAAATCTCTAGCTGGGGACGAGCTTGTACGCCCCACCAAGCAGCCTACTGTCAACGTGTTGCATTTGGGGATGTTCGAAATTGGCAAACCACTAGGCAAGGGCAAGTTTGGCCGCGTGTACTTGGCACGCGAGCGCAATAGTGGTTTCGTATGTGCATTAAAAGTCCTGCACAAGAACGAGCTGCAAGAAGGCCGCGTCGAAAAGCAAGTACAACGCGAAATTGAGATTCAGAGTAACCTGAGACACCCTAATATTTTAAGATTGTACGGTCATTTCCACGATAGTAAGCGCATTTTTCTCATTCTTGAGTTTGCCGGCCGCGGCGAGTTATACAAGCACCTACGCAAGGCGAATAGATTTTCCGAACCAAGAGCGGCAAGGTATATAGCACAAATAGCGAGCGCATTGCGCTACTTGCACCGCAAGCATGTGATTCATCGGGATATCAAGCCTGAGAATATCCTTGTTAGTATACACGGCGAAATCAAGATCTCCGATTTCGGTTGGAGCGTGCATGCGCCCGGTAATCGCCGAAAGACCTATTGCGGAACGCTTGATTACTTGCCCCCTGAGATGGTATCTGCCATAAACCAAGATAATTCTTACGACGGCAAAGTTGATCTGTGGGCTTTAGGGGTGCTCACCTATGAATTTCTGGTTGGTGAGGCGCCATTTGAGGATACGCCTGTCATGACTTGCAGAAGGATTGCCCGGGCAGATATGCAGGTGCCGTCGTTCCTTAGCTCTGAGGCTACGAGTTTTATCAAGGGGGTAGGTATCCGTGAACCATTTCAGCAGCTCGGCAGGATGCTAACATTATCCCAGTTACTTGTGGTAAACCCCGAAAAGAGACTAGGACTTGAGCAAGTTCAACAACACCCCTGGATTTTGAAGCACTGTCGATAGGATGAGACAGGTAGGGCCGTAGGGGACCGTCGAGATTAGGTAATGATCACAGCGATATGTCATGCAGAAACCCAGGAAGTTCGGTGCTTTGGTCGCATTCTCTCACTGAAGGGTCGATTTTGTTCATTTAAGAACAAATGCTTTTCTTTATTGACATACGTAATGAAACGATATCCATTGCAGCAGTTTCATAAGAGCCGTGCTAAGCCTAGACCTCATCGTCAATGCTTCATCACTAGCTTGTGCAGGATTACGGCATCTATGTATATATTATGGGAGCTGTCAGCCAGATTTGAATAGGAGTAAGTTCAAGCGGAACAAGCAGCCATGCCGAATCCACAATAGGCAGCAATGTACGTACAATCACTGTTCGAAAACGACCTGGAATCGAGAAAAATATGAGGGAATCGTGGCTGTAATCTCTTCTGCTGTAGTCTATCCCATATGCACCACTAATTCATGGGCTCTGGTTCAATGCGACTTGTACAAGATCTCAGTGTTTGTTGTCTGCTGCTTCATCCCGCAGCTATTGCAAGACATCACGGTCCTCCTGCGCCTCCTCACCAAAACACATTACCTGCAATTTCTCGATCCCGGAAATAGAGCAAAGCGACAAGATGCCAATATCATTCTCGAATAGGGTCTTGGATAGATCTGCCATCACGAAGCTCTTGAGCCAAGGTCGCAGAAATCTTCAGTCTGGTAACTTACACTGTCTGAGAAGTTGGACACATGTGGAGACATGGAGTTATAGCAGTTTTGTCGCACGGCACGGCATGCGCTAGCATACCCACTAGGGTTTATAGCTATATAAGCGCACAGAATTTAGATAATATGTATATAGAGTGTAGAGCTAAGCGCTCTTGTTTATAGAGTATATATAATTCTTTCTTTTATAGATTAATCTTAAAGCTTTTTACTATTATCTATATAATATCTAGCTTAATACTTATACTCTTAATAGCCTCCTTACTATAACTATAGCTTTATAGCTAATTACTTAGTTTACTACTACTACTATATTAGTAGTAGCTTCCTCTTTATATATTTCTTAAATAATATTACTTTTTATAAGTACTTTTTAGTACTATTATATAGAAACTAGAAGAAAGAGAAAGCGAGGACTTAGCTTAAGTATATACTGTCGGCTAATTAAGGGACTCTTATAGTATAATAGTAAAGGCTTATATAATCTAGTTAATTACTAAGTAAGAGATAATAGAGATTCTTAAGGTATAATAGAAGTAACTTATTATATAGTATAAAATTATATATAATAGTATATATTAAGAAGTATAGTTATAAAGGCTTTTATTTTCTCTCTATTTAGTTAGAGAGAAAAAGAGATATTTATAAGTAAATTCTATAGTCAAGCTGCTAAATTAAGTATATAGCTACTAAATTAAGTATAGCTAGTAGCTTAAAATAACTTTTATAGCTATTTTCTCTTATAAAGTAGTTTAATCTTTATAGCTATTAATATTTTTACTAGTTTCTAGCTAGTATTTCTCTTCTAACTTTAATTATATATATAAAGAAATATAAGCTTAAAGTAGATTAAAATCTTTATATACATAAAATATATATAATTTTTTCTTAGAAGTAATTTATATATAATAGTTATTATCTTTATTTTAATATATATATTTTTATTATAAGTAGTATTTCCTATTAAAATACTCTCTTAGCTATAAGTTAATTATAGCTAGATAAGTTATAATAAGTAGGTAATATAAATAAAAGATAGAATAATAAGTAAAAAAATAGATAAAAATAGATAATAAATAGATATAGCTTATATAGCTAGTTTATTAAATTATTAGTAGCTTCTTTAGCTAAAATAAAGCCTTTAATATTAAAGAAGCTTAGCTGTTATTTAAAATTATAAAATTTTTACTTTATAAAAAGTTTTATAAAGCTATTAGTAAGTATTTCTAAGGTTTTTAAGTATTTTATATTAAATTTTCCTTCTTTATAAGCTTACTTTATTTAGGTATTATAAATATTAATATACCTTAAAGCTATTTTAACTCTAGAAAAGTCTAGAGTAACTAGCTTTATAGTTTAAAAGTTATTATAATAAATAGTAAGTTTTTTAGCTTTTAATTTTAAGCCTAGTGTAACAGTAGCTTAAGTTCTAAGTTACAGTAGGTCTGTTTCTTAGGAAGTAAGTTAGGTTAAGTATTACTAAGTAATAATATAAGCAGTATAATAATAAGGCTGTTAAGAGTATAACTCTTAATAGTAAAACTATTGCTTAAATTAATTAATAGAGATCTAGACTATCTAACTATAGAAATACCTCCTCCTTAAGTACTTATCTATCTCTCTATTATAGTTCTAGATTAAATAGATTCTATTTAATTCTCTATGCTAAATTAGGTTAATTCCCTCTAATTTATTAAGTTAGATTAGACTAATTCTATCTAATTCTATTATATAACCTGCGATCCTGTCGGGCCCTATTCTTGTCTGCCGCTGGCGGCCTATAACGCCGGCTAACTGCTTTAGGTACTCTTAGTTTGTAACATAATACTCCTCCCCTATTAGTCTTGTCCTTAAGGCTATTTTGTTTTGTCTAGTAAGTATTCTCTTCCTTCCCCTCTCTTCCCCTTTTCTTTCTTTGTTATTCTTTTTATAATGTCTTCTAACTGTATTTTAAAATAGTAATCTTGTTGTAACTAGAAGATTAATTGCAAACGTCTTTCTGAGTTTATATCTGCCTTTAGCTTTGTTATGCCTTCCTGCGATTTGTATTAAAAAAATAATTAAGAGTGTATTGTCGCTGAAGGGAAAGACAGGTGCAGCGAATGTGCTTTATGTAGTTATACCAGCTGCAACCTAGGCAGAACGTCTTTAGATGCTTATAATTATATTCTTTGCGAAAAGGATTGTCTTAACAGAGAACGTGCTTCGGCTGAGGAGGATTTAGAGCAGGCGATAGCCTGTTTGCAAAGGATTTATTGTTAGGAGAAATTTTTGCGACAAAAGGCTGCAGAGATAATTGCTTATAGTGTAGAGAGTCTAGACGAGTTAGAGGCCTAGGAGCGTCTAGAGTTAGAGTTTAATATGCTTAACTAGACACCTGAGTTTCTAGCAGACTTAGGTTTCCCTATTTCTAATAAGTTTTTATTCTCTAGTAGAACTATTTAAGCGACATTAAGCAGTTTGTAAGATTCTTAGCTAGTTCCTAAGTGTTTTTAGAGTTTAGATATCTTTTCTATTTAACAAGATAATAATAATTCTTAGTGTTTCCCTGTGCTTTAAGTATCTATTTAACTTTATATTTATTAGTATTTTCTATTATAATACTTATAGTAATTATAGATTTATTTAGTGCTTTCTCTAGTAGTAATATATAAAATATAGAATAAATTCTTATTCTATCTAGTAATAATAGTTTATAGTTAGTATTTAAGATTTTCTGTTTAATAAGAAATAGTTTAATCTTCTTCTAGTTAAGTTTATTGCTAGGTTATTTTGTTTTAATGTTTTTATAAATAAAGTATACTTTATATCTTTTCTCTAAGATTAGCGCTAGCAATCTCTTTTTATCTATATAGTGCTTTATTTAGTTCTGCAAAAATATCTATTTTTATTATAAGTATTTCTATATTTCTATAATTTTTACTGCATACGCTATAGCTGCTAGTATATATATACTATATACTATATATATTTTAATAATAGAGTTATATCTATAATTTGCTCTAAATAGTAATATCTTTATATTATTAATCTTAGAGCTATTATAAGCTTATTATACTAGTAGTAGCTATTCTACCTAATTATTCTATTAGTAGTTTATATAGCTTTATAGATACTATTTAAGTATCTAGTTTAGTATTTCTATTTATCTATTTAATTATAAGTAGAATGCTGTTAATAAGCTCTATTTAACTCTTATAGTTTCTATAAGGCATTTCTAAAAGTTTAATATTATTATAGTCTAAGCTATGCTCGACCTTAAAGATGCAATGCGAAGCAATAGATGCACTGCACTGCAATGCGCAATAGAAGACATAAGCCTGTGCAGAGACCTATATAGTGCTAGATTGAGCAAGCTGGGGCAGCTTGTTCAATACGTACTCTTTTGGCTCAACAGCTAAGAGGGCTCTAGCATCGCTGAGATAACTGCAGCTGGCACCCGCTATAGCCCAATAGGGCTAGTCCATCACATTTAAACAAGCTTCCTAGGGTCGCAGGTTCAAGCCGCACGAAAAGTGCGAGGGATACTCAACCTGGGCTCACAAGGGCTACCGCCGCCACTCTTAGGGGGTGCGAGGTATAGGAGGCACAGAAGGGGGCTATGTCATGGTCTGAGCTATGCTCGACCTTAAAGATGCAATGCAAAGCAATAGATGCACTGCACTACAATGCGCGATAGAAGACATAAGCCTGTGTAGGGACCTATATAGTGCCAGATTGAGCAAGCTAGGGCAGCTTGTTTAATACGTACTCTTTTAGCTTAACGGCTAAGAGGGCTCCAGCATTACTGGGATGACTGCGGCTGGCACCTGCTATAGCTTAATAGAGCTAGTTTATTATAAATATAAATAATTTATCTTAATTTAATATAAGCTTTATTAGTAATTTATATTATATAATAACTATTTTAAAGAATATATATACTAAGTCTTTAGTGTTACTTAATTCTATATAAGAAATATAGTGTAATAGACTTAAGCTGTAGGCTTAAGTAGGTATAAGGCACTGCATTAGTGCTTTATTAAATACGCTTTAAATGTATATTAAATCTATATATATATAATAAGCAGAAAAAAGAGAATAGAGAGCTTCTTCTTTCCCTCTTTTCTCTCCTTAAGTTTATAGTTAATACTAGTAATTTTTACTTTATTATATATATTATATTTTTTAATAACTTCTTATACTATTTTCCTACTTTCTAGGAAATTATATAATCTTCTTAATTTATTAAGTGTTTTCTCTATACTTTAATATCTATATAGTAAGTATTTATATATCTCTTTAATAAGCTG